AATATAACAAAGAGTGAAAAATTTAAGGGGGTCTGAATACTTTCCGTACCCACTGTAACTGTTGGTGTAAAGAGAAAATTGATGTGGCAACATACAGTCCCTCTGGATGGTTTGGCTCATATTAAGGTGATTTGTTCTGTGTGGTGCTCAGTCTAGACAAGGCCCTGTTGTCACCTCCAGCTCCAGCTCTGCTCTTGGCTGCCAGCCTGCACTGCGCCTGGCGAGATTGCAGAGGGGACAGCCGGGGCTTCGGGGCTGTGCTGACCATACTGAGGCCTGAGGGACCCACAGAGTACCGACAGGTGAGTTGCAGCAAGAACTCACTCAGACTCGTTATCACCCTGACCAGTGTGTTTCTGCATTGTTTTCAGTTTAACATTTAAATTTTTAGATACAGTGAGTTGGAGTTGGTGTAGTGCTGCTAAACAAAATAATTTATTAATCTTATACAGTAGCTTCAGGAAGTATTCAAACCCTTTCACTTGTTGCACACTTTGTGTTGTGGATTTCATTGTGAATGGATGAAGTTGCCGTGTTTGTCCCTCAGTCTACACTCAGTAACCCATCAAAACAGTGAAAACAGGTTTTTAGACCATTTTGCTAATTGATTAAAAATCCAAAATAAAAACTGAAATCTCTCGTTTACAAAAGTATTCAGTCTTAACTGAGTTTTGGCAGCAACTCCAGCTTATCGTGTCTCCAAACTGTACATGACACATCTGCCAGCGCTACAGAGGTTTAGGTTACCTGTAGTTAATGACAGATTATATCATCATGCTTTTAAGGTCACAGTTCAGACTCACCTGAAGCCATTATCGTTTCAGTTTTCCTTAAAGTTGCACTGTTGTTGACCTATCCTGACAAACACAGTGACCTCTGAGCGAATGGCGTTGATCTCTTTCCTTGCTTCTTCCAGGTGCTCGTTTTCCTGCTTTTCCTGGGTGTAAATGACTATCTGTCAGCGCTCCTGTATCCTCAGGTAACTGTCCATGCCCTGTCCCATACAATATTCACAAAACAGACTGTGTTCACATTTAGGCTGGATGTAGCGGAGCAGCTGGGATTTGTTTGCTGTTACAGAGACGGGGCTGTGTTTGAGGCTCCGGTCACTAGACTCTAACATAATGGACACGTGACGTACAAACTACTGACCCTTTTGATTGAAGATTAAACTCTTTATTATTTTCTCCATTAATCAATCGATCGGCTTGTAAAACAATAGTGAGACATGGCGTCACAGTACTCTAAATGATCATCAGCATAGCTGCTAATTTACTGTTTGTGACGGCACAGCCAGACTGCGATTGCCACTTACAGGGTCCGCACACTGACTTACATTCATGTCCAGGAGACATACCCTAACTTTAACCAGAAGCATTACTTGCCTAACTTTACTCTAATCAGAGCCGACACCCGCTTGTAAAATTCAACGAATTAGACATGGGGCCCTTTAGCCACATGACATGTTGAAGTCTATGAAGATGACAACATGGTGCACTTCAGTTAGTTCAAAGCTCTACAGAGCAAAGTAAAACAGTAAAGTCCGTGAGCTGAGCACACTGTTGCTTCTCCTCCAGCTCGAGGGAGTAGCTCTTCTGTTTTGTCTGTTTCTGTAGGAAAGAAGCTGCCACAAAGCCAGGGCTTTCTGCACAGAGCTCCTGTCTGTGCTGCTGGACTCTGCTGACTGGCTGCTCATCTTTCAGTCCAACAGTAAGGCGGTGTCTTCACTCCTCAGTTCACTCGTGGTGTTGATCATTTGTTTTGCCATCTTGTGAGCACTGATGTTACAGGACTGTCTTCACTGTATTTATGCAATGTTATCTGATATGCTGTCTTTTTACTCTGACTTCAGAACAAGGTGTTTATCAGTCGGTTACCATGGTGACGTCAGATGAGTTTACTCGACTAATGCCGTGGGCTTTCTACAAGTGAGCTTCTCCAGAAATAGTTTTATTGGGACCAGTTGAGGTGCAGCTGTTTTTAAGAGCATCATTTAACATGAAACAGAAAAAGCAAAGTGTCCATTGACCTGTTGTAGATGTTTCCAGTAGTTACACTCACAAGGCCATAAGTCAGCCAGTCGTTGACAAACAGCTTTCCACGACTGAACACGTACAGTTGAAGTCAGAAATTCACATACACCTCAGACAAATACATTTAAACTCAGTTTGTCACAGCTCCTGACATTTAAATCTATAAACGTTCCCTGTCTCAGATCAGTTAAGAAAGTGAAATGTCAGGATAGTAGTCAAATCAAATCAAATTTTATTTTTATAGTGCCAAATCACAACAAAGACATCTCAGGACACTTTAAAAAGTAAGGTCTGGACCTTACTCTTATCACTATTATTACAAAGGGAAAACCCAACAAGTCCCCCTTGAGCAAGCACTTGGCGACAGTGGGAAGGAAAAAATCCCTTTAACGGAAGAAACCTCCGACAGACCCCGGCTCTTGGTGGACGGCCTTCTGCCTTGACTGGTTGAAGTTTAGGAAACGTCTGAGTACTAGTATGAATGTCCTTGAAGAGTTGAACATTTTAATAGATGAAATAGCTGAAACTATGCTGAAGTTGAATTTCCCCATTCATTTGAATGGGGCAAAATTTTCAGAATAAAGCTGAATATTTTAAAAAGTATGAAGTTTAAAAAAAATTCTGAATAGAAGCATAAATATCCTTGATAAGTAATAAGGTGAACATTTTGATACCTGAATGGTTTTTCTAGCTGAAAGTATGCTGAACTAGTTGAACACTGAAAGACGTACGGAAGAAACCAGAATAATAATAACTAGAGAAATGCATTTTCTGGGGAAAATGCATATAGATGCTGACTGCTGAAAGATCGCCCTGAAAATGGTGAACGTTTTGACACCTGAATGGTTTTGCTAGCTGAAGGAGAATTTTCCCATAAACTTTGAATGGGTACAGATTTTCAAAATAAAGCTGAATATTTCAAAAGTATGAAGTTTACAAAAGTTCTGAATAGAAGCATGAATGTCCTTGAAGAGCTGAACATTTTAATAGCTGAAATAGCTGAAAGTATGCTGAAGTTGAATTTCCCCATCCATTTGAATGGGGCAAAATTTTCAGAATAAAGCTGAATAGTTTAAAAAGTTTAGAAAAATTCTGAATAGAAGCATAAATGTCCTTGAAGAGATGAACATTTTGATACCTGAATGGTTTTTCTAGCTGAAAGTATGCTGAACTAGTTGAACACTGAAAGACGTACGGAAGAAACCAGAATAATAATAACTAGAGAAATGCATTTTCTGGGGAAAATGCATATAGATGCTGACTGCTGAAAGATCGCCCTGAAAATGGTGAACGTTTTGACACCTGAATGGTTTTGCTAGCTGAAGGAGAATTTTCCCATAAACTTTGAATGGGTACAGATTTTCAAAATAAAGCTGAATATTTCAAAAGTATGAAGTTTACAAAAGTTCTGAATAGAAGCATGAATGTCCTTGAAGAGCTGAACATTTTAATAGCTGAAATAGCTGAAAGTATGCTGAAGTTGAATTTCCCCATCCATTTGAATGGGGCAAAATTTTCAGAATAAAGCTGAATAGTTTAAAAAGTTTAGAAAAATTCTGAATAGAAGCATAAATGTCCTTGAAGAGATGAACATTTTGATACCTGAATGGTTTTTCTAGCTGAAAGTATGCTGAACTAGTTGAACACTGAAAGACGTACGGAAGAAACCAGAATAATAATAACTAGAGAAATGCATTTTCTGGGGAAAATGCATATAGATGCTGACTGCTGAAAGATCGCCCTGAAAATGGTGAACGTTTTGACACCTGAATGGTTTTGCTAGCTGAAGGAGAATTTTCCCATAAACTTTGAATGGGTACAGATTTTCAAAATAAAGCTGAATATTTCAAAAGTATGAAGTTTACAAAAGTTCTGAATAGAAGCATGAATGTCCTTGAAGAGCTGAACATTTTAATAGCTGAAATAGCTGAAAGTATGCTGAAGTTGAATTTCCCCATCCATTTGAATGGGGCAAAATTTTCAGAATAAAGCTGAATAGTTTAAAAAGTTTAGAAAAATTCTGAATAGAAGCATAAATGTCCTTGAAGAGATGAACATTTTGATACCTGAATGGCTATTCTAGGTGAAAGTATGCTGAACTAAAATGTCGAAAAACGTACGGAAGAAACCAGAATAATAAGTAGAGAACTGCATTTCTTGTCGAAAATGCGTGTGTGGATGCGATACATAAACACTGCAGTCTTATATCCCACTAAATCAAAAAATTTTAACAATTTAGACTGTATGAAAGCTACATTGGTGTGATCACTATACCCCATCTTATGCACAATTCTTATCGCTCTTTTTTTGTAATATATACAATGGTTGAAGTGAGCTTATGTACCGTATTTTCCGGACTATAAGTCGCTCCTGAGTATACGTCGCACCAGCCAAAAAATGCATAATGAAGAAGAAAAAAACATATATAAGTCGCACTGGACTATAAGTCGCACTTTTTGGGGGAAATTTATTTCATAAAATCAGAGACCAAGAACATACATTTCATCTTGAAAG